ATGTTTAAAGAGACAGTGACTTGGAACTTAAAAAAACACATCTTCATACCTACCATATACAAGCAAAATGAGCGTTAGCATCCCTCACAAACTGCTAAAGATATACCAAGAAATGGCTTTCAATACTTGTTAAATATATATATATATGTGTGTGTGGGGGGGTATGTATATATATATATATATATTTAATACTGACAACTCTGGTCTTATACTAAGACTTAAGAGGCAAGGTTCTTCTCACTTACACAGGACTAAACCTGGCATAAGCCCGTTGCTTTTGATGGGACTGGAAGGTCTGGCAGTGGTGTCCTCGAGTGGAATCCAGCCCCAACACACTTGGCTCCAGCCACCCAGTTACTGCTTGCAGGCAGCCTCCGGCGCCGGCCCCCGCTGGAGCCGCTGCTGCCAAGGCGGGTCTGCTGCTCTGCAGTAACTGGTGGGACGCAGGTCTTAGTTTATCTTCTGGGGCTTATTTTTTTCCTTTGTTTTACTACCTCTCATTTTTTTAATTTATTGAACATGCTTCAAATAGCAAGTCTGGGGAATTTTTTAATCATTCTTTTTACTTGAAACCTGTGTGCTTTTTTTGGATATATATGTGAACAATTTAACAAACTGTTTCTTAAACTCATTTGGTTTTGTAATTTATATAGAATTCAGGAGATGATTAAAAGGGCTATTCTCTATTCCCTATGCAAGTATTTTAACTGTTGTAGTGTTTGACAAAATGGGATCTAAAAAAAAAAATCTGCAAAGTGGAAAACAAATCTGTTTACAGTGGCGTTGCTGACTATCCTACCATATTCAGCACTTTTAAATATTGTTATTTATGAAAATGTAGTTTAAAATGCAAGACAAAATATTTATAAATGTTTCTTTTAATAAATACCTGTTTTGTCTGAAAGTGTTATTGTGTTATGACAACTTTATTCATGTTGGTTAGCTACTTACCATTATGAATAAAATATTCAATTACTATACTGATAGAATAATAGCTATGATGTTTACAAATCCTGAGGGGGAGGAATTCAGTGAGAAAGGACTGCCTCCTTCTACTGTGAAATACTGTTAGAAAAAATGATTTTTTTCTGGCTTTTTTTCTTAATTGGAATTTAACTATGGTCCTACATATGTCTAGTATCATTTGATTACAGTTATATTTACTGTGATACTAAACATATACAGCATCATATATGTATATATTTATATAGTGTAATTTCAAGTTTGTTGGTGTTTGAGGCACAATACATTTAGTCCACACATCGAAACAATGTGTAAGAGACAAAACTGCATGCGTAAGTCTTTACAAATGTAGACTTGAATATTCTTAATGTTACTATTTGATGGTGACCTGCTAGTCATAAGCTATCTTTATAAGATATTTCACAGAGGTAGAAGTTCTTGTCAACATAGACAAGTCATCCTTTCAAGGACAGTTTTAAAGTTAAATGTGCGGGCCCTAAAATATTACCTTGATTTTTAGCATAAGATTCCAAAAACTGTATTTGGAAACTGTTACATCATTTTGAAAAATATTACATCAATCTTCAGTGTAATACTGCAATGAAATCACGTTCAAAATTTCTTAACTCCTCTGTTTGGAGGGATTTAAAAATTGAACATAATGTGAAGTTTCTTTCTTGGAGCAAATGCTCATGTTAAAACGTTTAATACACATTTCATCTATCAGTTTGGGTTTCCAAAAATTTTTTTATGAAAAAATGGGTATGGTCCAAATGGACAAGTCATGCCATAACATGATCTCATTGCCTGTCATACAGTTCTTTGAAAACAAATTGTAAAACAGTCAAGCTATTAAAATGATTTATTGTGCATGCAGTGTACAATACACTTTGAAAAACTGCCTAAATACACTTATTCTATAGCCTGGAATAAAATAAGTATGTATTTAACTTGTATTTCAGTTTTTCATGAGAATGTGTATAGCAAGTACACTACAGAAAGCAAGTTATGTTTTTGTCACTTTTGTCCAGTATTTAATGTTTTCTGTCAAATAGAGCCTAATTCCAAATAGCCACATATAATCAGAGCACTTGTGTACACTCCTGACTTTTAGGTTTCAGAGAAACCAAATATATATTGTATTATGCTTGTGTTCAACTTAGCTGTTTACAGTCAACTTTCACACAACTGAGCTGAAGCTAGTTTGGGATACCCAGGACAAAACAAAACCTGCAGATAGTGTCAAGAGTATTTAGATTAGACTGAAGGCACATGCAGTGTGAAGGAGACTAAAGGTATGATGGAGAAAAGTCAGATCGTGGCTGGGCTGCATGTTAACCAGCAGAGTCCAGGCAGCAGGCTACTGGGGAAATGTGGCCATCGTGCTTCCGGGTCCACAGCCCGTCCGCTGCTCGTTTGAGCACCGGTGGAGTCCACAGAATCCATCCACAGGGCAACACAGAGTGGACACAAACTAGACTTAAGCTAGTAATAGCTCTGTTTTAAAGTAAAAGCATGCTAAAGTGTCTGCTAGGCTGTGGTCTAAACCATGCAAATAGACCTACATTCTACCTTAAACTGACAGGGTTTAAGCTGTCACCTGTTACCAAACTTGCTTTCCTAGGCAGCAAATTCCATCTCAAGGAGCATCTGCCTGTGGAACCAGCATCTAACAAAGGTGGGGGGCTTTCTTGGCGAGAGCAGCTTGCTGGACTTGACCACGCAAGAGATGGCAGCTTCCCTATGCAGTAAGTGCTTGTGAAGGCCATTTAGCATGAGTATTTCACAATGCCAATTCAAAAACAATCCAAGCTGATACAAGGTCTCTTGACTTCAGTGACTACACCACAAGGAGTAGAGCTCACACCTCTACAATGTCTGTAAGCCTGCTCCCAGCAGCACTGACCCAGGCTGAGTCCTTCTCGAATCCAACAAAGCAAAAAATTAAGCTTGCACATAGACAGACAGCTGCATTGTCTGCTCCAAGTTGATTTGAACCGCGTCTAACTACCAACTTCAAAACAGGGTTCTTCTCACCCCCTAATGCTGTTATTTTTGGACAGACCCAAGAGCAGCACTGTAGCTCTTCCTGGGACATGGCTGCAGTGACAAAGGTCCAGTCCTGTTCACCAATACCCTGAGCACATTTGCAGTGACAACCCAGCAGCACCATTCACATAGGTCCTGAATACTTCTGCCAGCAGTAGAAGTGACTTTTGTGGGATGAAAGAACAAAGCAATAATGGTGCCAAAATCAGCTGGAGAAAAAAAACATAAACATTTTGTGCATATTACTTCAACATTATACCAAAAGCCAGATTCTGCCCCTTCCTTTATCCATGAACTCGCTCTGTGGAAATCCATCCTTCCAATTTAAACCAGGGATACAATTCAGGTGATTCAAAGGCTGACCATCTGTCATTGATTCACACTACCTTTTTTTCCTCTCAAAAGCTTTACATTATATCACCCCTTACTCTAAATATCCTGAGTTCTGCATACTTCTCTCACAAGCACGGTTCACACAGCCATTAAGACTCTCGTAATTTCATTCATTGTTGCAAAGCACCAAAATATTTGGTCTGTTAAATGCATAAATTTCATAATTTTTCTTTACCCTTCTGAAAGAAGGCTTCAGCAAGCTTCAAGGGCAGGCAGCAGTGAGTACAAGGGAAGCTTTCAGTGCTGAGATTTCCTAAGCAACAGCCTGGGCTGTTTGTCAGTGCTGGACTATCCGCTCAGACTGTACATTCTCCACAAAGCTCTTTGAGTATGATTTTATTTATAAATTATTGCTACAGTGTATTTTGCCCACAAACCTTATTCGAAGTGGTTCATTTACATCGTGGGAAAATGTTTCTATCCAAACATTCATTTTAATGTTTAAAATTCCGAGTAACAAATTCTCATGTTGACCATATTGCTTTTGGATTTCCACAGTGGAACAAAACTTCCCAGTTTTCATTTCTGACTACCAAAACCACTTAGGTGCACAAGCATAATTCTTGCTTTTGATATTACATTCATGAAAATAACAATTTACTAATGTATCACATGGAAGTTATTGTTATTCCACCAGTGTAATTTAGTTGTGAAGTATGATTACCTAGTTCTGTTAAGACATGGACAAGGACAGAACAGCAAAGACCCAACTTGGACCCCTCCAATGATTTTAATATAACATACTTCCTAATAAAGTTTTATGGATAGTTGCACATTTTTATACTAAAGTATATTCATCAAACTATTTCAAGTTTAGCCAAGAATCTCATTAATGATGTTATCTAAAACATGGCTACTACACCACCCCGTCCGCATACCAGAGGGGATTGGTCATCATCCCAAAACATCCGTCACATCATATTTACTAAACGACTGCATCTTCACTGCCTTCCAGTTTGAAACTTTGATGTAAGACACTGTACTCAGACCTGTGTTTTGTAAATGGGTAGTCTTTCATTCTCACCACAAATCTTTGACGTGAAGGCTCTTTCAATTTTTAATTATACTGACAACGCATTTCTTTCCCTCTAAATGCTTATTTTTGCACTTGCTTTTACTGCGGATGCATTCTTCCACAAGTATTTGCAGCTTCTTCCTCGTCAGGGTATTTTACTTTTGAAATTTTTTTTCTGGGGTGAGAGGAAGAGAGATGTCAGAGGAACCTGGCTGTCCAGAGCCCCAACAGAAACTCCCGGGGTGCCCTTCCTCACAGGCCGCCTTGGCGGTTGGCTGCAGCGTAGGAGGACACCAATCCCACTCCCCACCCCCGTCAGTGAAAACCTCAGCACCCCCGCGAGCTCTTGACCCACGAGCCCTGCTTCAAATGTGTGGTATGGAGGGTTTGGCGGCTTTTTATTTTTGTGTCAGAAGGAGTAAAACCACACCCGGAACCCTCCCCCCGCGCCAACTGACAGAGGCCCCCGCGGCCCGCAGGGGGGCGCCCGCGCATCGCCCCGCCGACGCTGGCCAATCGGAGCGCGCCCGCCCAGGGGCACCGAAGGGAACCGAACTCCTTCGTCCGTTTCCGCCAGGGGAAGCCCCGATAATCTCCGACTGCGAACGAAGGCAGGGCCGAGCCTCTTCGGCAGCTTCCGGAAACCCGGAAGGGAGGCGGCCGAGCGCCCTCGGGTGCCTCCAGCAGGGGAAGGAGGGGCGGCGAAGGACGGGCTCCGGAGCACCCGCCCCGGGCGGCCATGCGGCTGCTCTGGCGAGCTCTCCGCGGGGCACCGGGCTGCCGGGCTGCCGCACTGCCCGCTCGGAGCCCCCGGGGGGCGGCGGCGGCGCACCGCGCCCTCAGCGCCCGGCCCGGCTTAGACGAGCTGTTCGCCGCCCCCTCCTTACGGCGCCTGCTGGAGGCGCGGGGCGGGGGCGGGGCGGGGCCGGGGCTGGCGGCGCGGATCCGGCGGCTGCGCGACAAGGAGCAGGAGCTGCGCGACACGCGGGAGCTGGCGCGGCAAGGTGCGGGGGCGGGCGCGGTTTGCGTGTGCCGACGCGATTGGGGGGGGGGACGGGGGCGGGGGAGAGCGCCCCGAGCGGGGTGGCCGCCACGCGGCGCCGCGCAGCGCGTGAGGGGCGGCGCGTGCCGGGGCGGTTTACGGACCGGTCAAGTTAGGGAGGGACGGGGCGGTGCATCTACTTCATGGAAAATAAATATAATTAACCGGGGACGGAAGACTCCTGCCATTTCTTTTTTTTTTTACTTTTTAATTTTTTTTTTTTATTTTATTTTTTTGGGGGTGGCTTTTTCCCCTTGCCGTCCGGACGGACGAGGCTGCCCGCGTCCCTCTCGGCAGGCGCAGGCCCCGGCGCCTCTTGGTGCCGCCCCCGCGCTGCGCTGTGACGCTGGGTTGCGTTAGCAGCGGCGCGCTTCTGGTCGTGCCGAGTAGCGGGTGTGTTTTACCGAGTCAGACTTCATTTTGATAGCGGTTAGAAACCAAAACGCGGAAAAGGAGTACTTTAAGATCAGTAAACATGCACTAGATCATTAAATGATTCTTAGATAATTTAATACCTACTACTTTGCTAAGTACAGATTAATCAAAAGTGTTAACTGTAGTCAGTTATTCTGACTAATGGAGATGGCAAACACTGTCTAAAAGCAAATGGTATTTTTTTCCCCTATTCATTCTCTCCCACCTCAGATTGACAGAGGAGAAACGGTTCATTCGAACAAACTTAATTACTGGCCTGAGCTAACTGAATGAAATGAAATGCAAGATTTTTTTCTCCTTTCAGAACGTGCTGAAGAGCCACTGTCATCAAAACCAGTCTTAGAGCTTCAGCACAGCGATCACAAGGGCTTAGCAGTAGCTTTGAGCACTTCTGTAGCTCGTGCTAAAAAATATTTGCGTATATTATTTTCAAGTGATTTTAGAGCCCTTATTGCGTTTGCATCTTGAAGTATGCAACTGCTATTAATCATTAGATTATTTCTTAATTGCATAATAATTGCATTATTAATAGCTGGTTTGACTCCAATAAATTTGTAATTCCTTAATTCTTATCTTTCTTTTTGTTGGTCTCAGTGACTAGCCCTTGATCAGTCAGGAGTTACTGTAAAGCAAGGTAGATAGTTGAAGATGATCAAGTTTACATGTTTAAAGAGTTACAGTTATTCAGGCAGTCAACCATGCATGCTCTTAGCCAGCTGTATGTAAAGTATGCTTATTGTTTAAAACAATTTACGCGTGACTGTCTTTTTAATTTCCTTCTTAAAGAAGAGATGGGAGGGATTAATTAACCAGTATTAAACCTAAATTATAAAGTCACAAAGTTTAAAATTCTGCTAATGACTAAATGCAGTTACAGTGCTGAAAAGGTACAGGTGGCTGTACTGTAAGAATGCACCTCCCGTCTCAGCTGAACACATATAAAAGCTTGCAGTACACAGAAGAAAAGAAGTCTTGCATCTTTCTTTTTCTTCCCTTGCTGCTGACTGCAGTTATGTGTGCCTGTGCTAGTCCCAGTTCCCCTTTTTTCACTATGTGTACTGTCTTCGCCTCCTTAGGATAATATTTTTTTCTTCTGGGTGAATGAGTTGAATCAGTGTAGATCAGACTGTTTAAGATGTTAATTTTTTTTTTTTCTTAATCTTCTTTTGGGGGGGTGTGTAAAGTTTGATTTTGACCAGAAAAAAAAAGGAACATTTTAGCATATTGAAACTAGTACAGAAAAACAAGTCTTAGTTGTAAAGCATTAGTGTTGATCAGTCAAGTAACGCTTTAAAATTAGAAGTTCCTCTTATGATGCAAGTGTTCTTCCATACCTTTGTTTTTAGTGATGTGTTAGAATTTTTGCAGCTGTTCTGGAATAAATTGACAGAGATAAAATACTTGAAATTCCTACTACTATCCTCAAATTTTTGCACACATTGGTAGGGTAATAGTCCTTTCAATTAAGTGTCAATTGTGAGACTGCTCTGCTCTTGATGTTCCCACCACATTGAAATACAGAAAGTAATTTCTTAAAATCACAGAGTGGCTGAGGTGGGAAGGGACCTGGAGATTATCCAGTCCAACCCCCTGTGCAAACGGGATCACCCACACAGGTTGCTCAGGGTTATGTCCAGTCGGGGTTTGAGTATCTCAGAGGATGGAGACTCCACAACTTCTCTGGGCAACCTGTGCCACTGTCTGACCACCATCACAGCAATTGCTGGTTGTTTTGGGGGATGTATTGTGGTGTTGTTTTTTTTTGGGGGGGGGGTGTTAATGTTTAAATGGAATTTATTGTATTTTGGATTTTCCCATGTCTCATACTTGAACAATATCAGAAAATATTCTTAATATATACTGTGTATCTTTGTTACAGATCATATCATTAATCTAATTTTCTGACAGGTTTAGGTTTAATGTGGTGGAGGTGTGGGTTTGTTTTTTTTTTTATTATTGTAAAGTAAGTTCTTCATGTGGTGACTTTTCAGAATGTTTTCTGAGAGTGACACTGCTATAAATCTGAGGGTTAACCATAATCAAATATTCCAGATGAGAGCGAAGATTTTCAGAAGCTTGCAGAAAGGGAAATTGCCTCCTGTGAAGAAGAGATAGCTGAACTGAAACACCAGGTTAGATCCCCTTTAAAAGCCTCTATTTCCCTGCTGTTCCTAACTTAAGAAAGCCAAATTGCCTTCTCATTAAAATAAAATGTATGCAATAAACTTTTCCTCCCCTCTCTGCCAATTATACTCAACTAGTGTCTTTTATATAAGGAAAATGAAAAATGCAGATGATATAGAGACAGACAATAAATGCCTTCTTGTATCTGAAATTGTTTGAATCAATACATCTTTTTAAGTAGGTGCTTTGTCTTGTCTGGATGTACCTTTATGGATGTCCAGCTTTTTGTCTATGGGAAATATTAAACTTGCATAGTATCGCACACACTAATGGTTTTGAAAAAAATAGTTTAATACTGTGTAACTACTTTAGACTGCTGCCTTATATAGGTTCTATAGAGTATCTGCTATGTAACATAAAAATAATGATCTTTACATTGTTTCATATGCTTAATGTTACTGGTGAAGTAGAGGCTGGTATTGTCAAATTCTTTATTCCTTCAACATCAATACAACAGTCACTTTATAAATATTTTTGTAAATCCTTTTGATTTTGCCAAAAGAAGAAGTCTCTGGAAAGAAACATCACCTAATGCTAGTAAAGCAAGGTGATTGAAAAGCACTTGCAAATCATCCAGAGTTTTGATCCAGCCTGCAAAATTCTGATACAGCTTTTTGGTTCCAGTGTATCTTTCTTCTACTGATCAATATAAGGCTGGTTCTCCCTTTTGGAATAAATCATAGAATGGTTTGGGTTGGAAGGGACCTAAAAGACCATCTAGTTCCAACCCCCCTTGCCATGAGCAGGGACACCTTCCACCAGCCCAGGGTGCTCCCAGCCCCGTCCAGCCTGGCCTGGAACCCTTCCAGGGAGGGGGCAGCCACAGCTGCTCTGGGCAACCTGTGCCAGTGCCTCACCACCCTCACAGTGAAGAATTTCTTCCTTACATCTAATCTAAATCTACCCTCTTTCAGTTTAAAACCTTTATGCCTTGTCCTATCCCTACACTGACAAAGAGTCCCTCCCCATCTTTCCTGTAGCCCCCTTTAAGTACTGGAAGGCCGCTATAATGTCTCCTGGAGCCCTCTCTTTTCTAGACTGAACAACCCCAACTCTCTCAGCCTCATAAGGGAAATGCTCCAGCCCCCTTATCATCTTTGTGGCGTCCTCTGGACCCGCTCAAGCAGGTCCATGTCCTTATGTTGGGCGCCCCAGAGCTGGACACAGCACTGCAGGTGGGGGATTGTCTCACAAGAACAGAGGGAGACAATCCCCTCCCTCAACCTGCTGGCCACGCTTCTCTTGATGCAGCCCAGTACACGGTTGGCTTTCTGGGCTGTGAGTGCACATTGCTGGCTCATAGTTTTCCATCCACTAATACCCCCAAGTCCTTCTCTACTGGGCTGCTTTCAAATAAATTAGTAATACAACTGTGTTGCTGTTGAAGGACTGTCCTCCTGAATATCTATACCTTCTTAGCTCTGTGCTGATACTGGATTAAAAAGGAATCTGATGGGAAGGGAGATGATCAGTTGTCTTGCAAGAACTGATGTGTATCCTGTGGTGTCCAAACATCGCAGTGCTCCTGATGGGTGAAAACTTCTGTGACATTTCATAGGTCTTGAGAGAGACGTGTGTAGCTCCTGTGACTGTGAACAGACACAGGGAGCCTTCCTGCAATGCAACCCCCCCACCACCTCTTCCTGACTACTGCTTCTTCACCACAAGAGGCATGAGAAGCCTGTCCTCTGGGCAACCAACAAGCAAGAGCAGGAGGATGCCACCTAGATTGATTACAGACTTGTCTGGCATTTTATACTATCTCAGATGTGGATAGCAGTGTCGGGAGGGAAGTCTTAGCTGGGTGTCTTTGTATTCACAGATAGTGTTGCTTTTGATTCCTTCAGAAGAAGCAGACAAAAGTGATCTTGTCATGGAAGTAACAGCTGGAGTTGGAGGGCAGGAAGCCATGCTGTTCACCTCGGAGATATTTGATATGTATCAGCGATATGCTGCCTATAAAAACTGGAAATTTGAAATACTAGAATACTTTCCCAGTGAAATAGGTCAGTAATGAAAATACTTAATCTTCGTAACTTTTTAATTTAAGTTGAAACATTCATATGACACTTGAATTTCCTGACTACAGGAAGCTAGTTTGCATTAACTTAATTTTAGAAGCAGGAGATCGTTTGAATGTCCGAGTACAATTTTCCTCAGCTTTTGTATTTGAGAAAGTAATTCTGAAATGGAATTTCAATTAAAATACTAAAGTGCTAAAAAATAAAACTTGTCTTTCAGTAGTTTCAAAAAGTAGAAATGAAACTAAGTGCTTGGCGGAAGAAAATTCAGAAAGTGATGCATATACTTTGTTTTAGATTTATTTTTTTACAACTACAGATTACATATACTTTTTCTTTGGATCTGCTGTTCTACTTAGTTACTTAATGTTTCCAGTATTTTATAGATCAGTTTGGTGGCAGGTTGAAAGTCTATTTATTATTATGGATCCCTTGGCAGGGAGGCATCAGTATAATTAAAACTGTTCCTGAAGCTTAATCTAAAGCATCTTGAATTTATCTGAAACAATGTCATCTGCGAATTTACATAGGGGATGTTTGGAATATAGCTCATATGTAACAGCTAATGGATGAGCAAAGTGGGGGTATTATTGAGACTTTGAGAGGAGAAATAAGAGATCTAACTATTTAAGAAAGTCTTCAAGTAAAATTTTACAGGTAATCAGTTTAACAACTTGATTCCAGTAAAAGGAGATGTTTCTTCTTTCTCCCCTCTTCCTTGCTGCCTCTCTGCCTGTCTGAGCAGTCCCACTTTTTTTTTTTTTTTTTTTTTTGTCTGCTTTGATACCCTTTCATTTAAACTGGCAAAGACTGCTTTTTACTTCTGGAATAGTTTTTTTGCTTAGTTAATGTGCTAAGTCGGTTCTCATGAGCCTTAGAGCTAGCATAAGATAAACAGCAACATGGGGCTCAATGCAAGGAGGTAGAAAAACTGGATCTTCTGACGATGAGCTGTGAAGTTGGTTCACTGCATCTCATGGAACAGTGTCATTGCAAAGATGGGGATTGGTAGGTTTACACAACAAACTGAGGCAGTGGCACATGATAGTTAATTTTAGCTTAATCCAGTTCATGTATAAAGTTGTTTCACAAAGATCAGGCTGCTGTGTCTGTGTTGCTGCAGACTTCTTTGCATTGGCACTTGTGATTATGCGTCTTCACAGAGTCTCATCACCAAATCAATCCAACTGAAAATCAGTACCCACACTCCCCCACACCCACACTCCCCCACACCTACACCCTCCACCCCACCCCACCTCCCCACCCCCGGTTAGTTTTCGAGTAGTTCAGCACCAAAGAAGAGAAATGCTCATGGGGGCGGTGGAGGGAGAAGTATGTGGCTACTGGTGGTGGCAGTGGGGAAGCCAGGACCTCCTTCCAGCAGCAAAAGGTTCAGTCCGCTTAAACCAACTGTGAGACTGCAATCCAAAACATGCCCAATCAGTGGCAGGGATTTGGGGTTTAGATTGACAGGTTGCTAGCCATGTTTCTCAGCAGGTTAGATATGCTAAGTCCGTGTTAACAGATCTGCAGGCTTCCTGTTACCTATGCTGTTGTGAGTAAAGCTAGCACATATTGCTTGCATACATATTGCTGCAGAGGTAATGTATACATCATAGTGGGTATAGTGCTCCTAGCTCAGATCGGTTGTGAAACTTTACCTATATTTATACTTACATTAGCATTTTTTCCCTTTTTTTTTTTTTTTTTTTTTAGTAAAACTTTAGAAATGAGAGAAGCTAGGATGTTAGGATATGCAACCTGTCAGGAAAAACTAATCTTTTTTTTTTTTTTTTTCAGTCAACAATTAATATAATTGCAGAGAGATTTTTAGCAAGCTTTGAGATATGTGAAGCATCTTCTAACACTTCCTCTGTTTACTTACACCATATTTTGGACTCAATTATATCAAATGTCTTGAACCCTTTCTGCTTCAACCATGTAGAAATTCACAAAAAATAAATATTCACAATTCTTCTAATTGAGCTTCTCATGTTAGTGAGCTACTTTCCCCTTCTAATGAAGGTCTTTCTGTGCCCTAAGACCCTTCTTGCATAAGTACAGTTTTTGATTCACTGTTGTATATTGAGGGCTTAAAAGAAGGTTCAAAAATTGGACTCCATGAAAGAAATACAGTCTGACATCACAAACTGAGAACTTGAAAATCTAGGTGCATGCTTGATTTATTGTCTGTATTCACACTTCAAAAAACGGAGGCCCATGTCTTCACCTTTCAGATATGCAGATACAATTGTAACTTACTATGGACTTCACTTACACTTCTGGGATCTTAAAATCTTTAATAGAATTTTATTTTAAAAAGTGTTATGACTGTAAAATGTTTGAATAACTTTCTTTAGAGTTCTTGACAAGTGACATTTCAAGTTGATGAACATTAACTCAGGTTTTCACAGTATCAGAATCTCCTTCTAGGGTAGCTGCTGTTGATTCAGTTAATGCACATTTTTTTAATTTAATGGCACTTGAATGCAATATTGCCTCTTATTTGTATTTTTTTACTATTAATAAACTTTTTTTTTATGGTCAAGAGGCCATTTGTCAAGTAAACCGCTTGCACAGTGCAAGTGAAGGTAGGGACAAAAGGCAGCTTCATGTTACAGTGCAGCTTGTTTCTAAAAGAAGAGTCATATTTATCCCTGTTCATGACCAGGCAAACACTTTGCCCGGACCTGAGCCAGTTCAGCCTTCAAAGCCAGAGGAAATCTATTAACTTTTTTTTTTTTTTCAAAAGTAAATGGTATAAACATGGTAGAGGTTAGATGGGTGTAAAGAGAATGGGGGAAGGGTCTGAGTGGTCTTGATTTTATATGCTAGGGGGACCGTTGCCCTTTACATTGAGGCAGGACTTGGATGGGGTAAACCCCAGCAGCCACATACAACGTCACCTTCAGAGCACAGATTCACAGTCAGCTTAAACAATCCCATGTTCCAGGCAGCTGCCAGTCCTGTGCTCCTCCTCTCACCTCTAGCAATTTTGAGGTAACAGGGCTAATTTGATCGATCCACTGATTTGGATTAAAAACTCCCTGTTATTGGATAGTTTTAAGTCAGGTCTGACTCAACTTGCAGTCCTGTGATTGGAAGAGAAAGGGAGTTGTGTTTGACTACCCTTTTGGTGAAAGCTCAGTCCTTGGACAAGGAGCCCATACCCTCAGAGGCATTCTCTTCAATGCCTAAATGGGAAATTGAAGTAATACATTAACCTAGTATATATCTAGCTGTACTTTTTCTTTGAAACTGCTAGGTTTTTAATGGATATATATTTATTGTAACCTCTGTTGTCTTGCTGAGGGCTTACCTGTGCAGTGAAATTAATGTTTTGGAAAGTAGAATGTAAATTTAGAGAAAAATAAAGGTAGCCCTAGCCTTTGTCAGCCTCTTGCAGTGTATTTTCTGATCTTAACTTGCATGACTGCATATTATCAAAACTGAGGAGCTAGAAATAAATTGGGAGGTAGGGGCACTATAGATGGCAGTGCCACTGAAAGGCAGGTTTGAATCTTCAGGTTCAAAGTGTCTTGGCTGTGCTAAGAACGGAGTTAAGGATGCCTGCTGGTGACACTAGGCTATTGCATCCCATCCACCCTCCATTTTTATGGACTGCATGAGAAAAAGCAAGGCCCTACATTAAAACATCATACTCCCTCATTTCAGAGAGCTCCAGAATTTGGCTGATATCTAAAGATGAGCGTGTGTGAATGAGGTGAATGTAATATAAAGCTGCAATTAAGAATTGCTTTCAGTCCACTCGTAACTGACTTTATGGACTTACCAAGGGATGCCACTGTGCAAAAATAGCATGTTCAAGGTTTAGCTCACACGATGAACCACAAACCTTTGTTTATCCACTACCTCTCACCCTGCAGTGGCAGGCAGAGAGAGATACGGGATTTTATCTCAATCTGGGTATAAGATGCCACATAAAAATCAAGTGTAAACTTACACCCCTCTTCTATGCATATCAGCTTTTGGGATAGAGAGGGACATTTTAATTGAAAAGAGCAAGCATATAGTTAGTAAGAGCTAACGATATTTGACAGGCCTACGGCATATCTGCCAGGGTAAAAGGCTTGTTGGGATTTCATTGGATTTGGCTGCATTTCATATTAAACCTGTGTTGGTAATAGTTGATTTGGAGCTGTATGACCTAAATACCTGTCTTTTGAATCAGTTTCTTGATCATATCCTTCTAAGCACTATGGTGCCACAACCACACTGTTATCACTACAGACTTAAAACTCCCCTGAACATGTCACGGATGTGGCTGCAGCTCAAATAGACAGACTGTACCCATGATATATATATTAATGCCAGGAGAAGTGAGGGAGAAAAGACAGAAGATTAGCTTTTACAATGAATTGCTTATCACATGATTAATGCTTGTGAGTAGTGCCATAGCCTTGTGGACATTCACATATTTCTTACTCCTGACGTAACCTAGCTTCTTCCTCATGTGCAGAGGTTGTTTATGATTTTCTTAGTACTTGTTTTTATATGTAAAGAAGTAAGTTTTATTACTCAACTACATTAATTATTTTGGGTTATATAATTCTTTTAGAGTAAAGTTCATTTGAATAGGGTTTGCGTAGCAGTATGAAGATTTCCCACTACCTGCAAGAATGGAACTTACTGATCTAAACTGAAGATTTTGATTCTTATTTGTTAAACTACGTGCTTTACAGTCAGATTTATTCTAAGCATGATGGATTTATCCTACAGAATTGATAGTAGATAATGGCTATAAATTAAATCAGTGAAGCACTAGGTATGCTGAACAGTGCATTTGAATCAAAGTGGTACAGATCTATACAAGTAGGAGAAAAATTTTAAAAGTCAGAAGGACAAAAATGAGATAAAAAGAAAGGAAGAAGTGGATTAGGCTATTTTCCACGAATATGACTGTAAAAGGAAATACGTTTTAGTAAAGTTATGAGGGAATGTTAAATTACTGTAGAATAAAAACATATGCAAACCTTTGTGGAGGTGAAAAACCTGGCCTACTTTCTGGTTGATTTTTTCCTGCCCTGCAAGGCATTTTCAGATTCTATGTTGTCTTCATTTTCCTTTTTAAAAAAGCTGCTATCTTGTCCCTATGGTTGATTTCCTTAGTCTATAGATAGCCTAAAACAGTACTTCTGAGAAGCATGTGCCTCTTCTTTTCCTCAACTGTGATTTCATGTTGCATGACTTCAACAGCAATTCTCTTTCAAGGCCGCCTATCTCCTCTTCAGTCATTCCCCTGGCACAACATCCTCTGTGCTGCGAATGGGATCTGGGGACTGAGCTGGATTAAAAAACAAACAGGGTGAAAAATTACATTCATTTATAGTGCCATCAGTTCTCTGATCCTTCAAAGTTATACTGTCACAACTGAAGGATTTGCACACTAGCAAACAAGGAAGAGTGAGAATGCCATAAACTAGTGTTATAGCAAACTCTTTCTGACATGAAACCATGATTGTATTGGACTTCACTTTCAAGTTCCAAGCTGTTCAATGCTAGTTTCTTAGTACATTGCTGTCAAGTGTTTTGCTGGATGCATTGGTAGGAGGGGCAGGAGTTAGAGTTCTGCTCTATCCAAGGGAGGAAAACATTAAAATGAAATGGAAGAGCAAAAACGAGACATGGGTAGGATGCATAGAGCAGAATGAGTAAAAAGAGTATGAATAATATTCATCCTTTAGTTAAAGAGTTGGGTTTTTTCCCATTGAATGATAAGGTTCTGAACTAACAGTAAAGCAATTCATGAAGTTTCTGAAGGTGGCTTTCAAATTTTGATCTTTACCTAAGCTTGCTACTGGTGTTAGAGTTCTACTATGGTTTATGATTTTATGTGTACATGGTTCACATACAACCTTTTTATGCAGATAAAAATTAATCTGACTATAAAAAATAAATTGACAGTTCTTTATTTGAGATAGTGTGTGTGTATGTACGTCTGGCTTTGTTTTTAAGAGTTCGCTTGAATTTTCAGTATAATTCTAAGTATTTAAATGATAAATTAATAATTTTAAGAAATAAATAATGATGCCTAAATACAGTTTGAAATATAATAGCATAGTACCAATGGTTTTTCTTACAGCTTTACAGCTGTTTTTCTTCTGTATTTAAGGTGGCCTAAGACATGCAGTTGCCAGTATAGCAGGTCTTGAGGCTTACAAGTACATGAAATTTGAAGGAGGAGTGCACCGTGTTCAGCGGGTACCAAAGACAGAAAAACAAGGACGCATCCACACCAGTACAATGACTGTTGCAATATTACCCCAACCCACCGAGGTAATACTTATCTTTTAGTATAACAGACTTTATAGTGAGCAGTGTTTTTACATGCTGTATTACTGATACCCAAGTGTTTTCTGTCTCTCTTGTTATTCTCTCTTAATGATTTTTTTTTAATCTTAGTGTTAAACTGTCAGATTTGCTTATTTTATTTTTGTCTAGGGGGCTGAAATCAAGAATTTCTGGATTTCCTCATAATCTCAAGAACGTCACTGGCAGTTTACTTCACTATAACTTAAAAATTCAGTGTGACTGTGACTTTCACGTTGTGTGTAAAACTTTACATTTTTTACAGAGTGACAAAAGACTGAATTAGTTTACAGAGCTCACAGAGATTTCTTTTAGCACCTCCTCTTCCCCATTTTTGTAGCATCCTCACTTTCCCCTTCTAAAGTGTACAGATGATAATTCATTCTTGCCATATTTTCTTGCTTAAAAACAACTGGCTAAAAATAAAAGCTTTGATTTGATCTTTGTTTCATTCTGACCTAGCAAGTTGTCAAAGATGTTACTCCTTCCTGTCCTCTCCCAAAGCTGTCTTGCTCCTTCCTCCCAGAGACCATTGCTCCATTCCAGAGCCAGCAAAAGGAATATGTTTCATTTTACCTAAAAAACATCTGGCCCTGTTCAGATATTGGTTAACTCTGCTGGAAGAGGTTGCAGAGCTTTCAGAAGAGGGGGAAGATTAATACTATGAGATGGTTATGCCTTAAGCTGCTATTTGATTTCTTGGCTTCCATCATGTCATATTCCAATTCAGCTACAAGGATTTGTTAATATGTTTATAAGTGGATGTGAGCTACCACTTAGAAACTTTAAGAAGTTTGATCTTGCTGAGTGTGCCTTATAAAATAAACCAACTATGTATATTTGACATCTGACTAGAAAGAAACAACATAAATGTGTTCTTTTTTTGTTGGTGTTTTTTTTTTTTTTTTTTTCTGTCTCCCATGACAGATGAGCGTGCAAATTAATCCAAAAGATCTACGGATAGAAACAAAGCGAGCTACTGGAGCTGGAGGCCAGCATGTCAATACCACAGACAGTGCTGTGCGGATAGTTCATATTCCAACAGGTGCTTCATTTTTTCCTTAGCACAAGATCTACATTGCAAAACTGCTTTCGAATTTCTCTTGAAACAATGGTTTTATATTCAAACCTGGACAAAAATTGATCAGAGTTTTCAAACAGTTTTCATGTGTGTTTATAGTACGCCAAATGCACCGTTTTGTGCCCACTGCAATTTCTAATAGTGAAGACTACTGGCTTCAGAAGGCAAGCCATTTCAGTAGGCATTTTGCCATTAAACGTGACACTCTAAAAGCGTCCAGATCAGTTTCTGTGAAAAAATTATATTTAGGCTTTCAGATAATGAAAAGGAAACTGAAAAACAGAGTAGCTTTAAATCTGATGATACGCCTTTTCTTGACTAGTCTCCAAAAGAGAGATCACTCTATTTCTATATTAAAATGTTGCTTTTAATTGTGGAGTCTACTCAGGATGCTGGCTTCCATTTGTCTGCTGGCTCCTTTCCCATAGTTTACACACATAATTAGGAGGCCCATTTCCAGGGCTCAGGTTAGAAAATGTAGGAGGGATAAGATACACCCTCAAATACTGCCTGATTTTAGCTATCGTATCTTTTTTTTATTGCCATTCCTAAGCTTTTTACTTCCCTTTGAGCAATACACAACAGCTGCCTTGACTTTCATTGCTTTTTAACTTTTCCTCTTCTATACTACAAACATTAGTCAGGCTTTACAGCCTCAGGGTAATTCTGAGAGCTCCTTATCTTCACGTATCCAGATTTTTCCCACCCGTTTCTTCATATTTGTTGAAGACATGAATCCATTCTGCACTTGTTGCATCACCTCAGTAAAGCAGAAGGTAAACAATGGAGAGGATAGAATTCTGTTCAAGATACGGTGACAAAAAGGTACTCCAGATTCAAACAGTTTTGGATTGCCTTCATGTTTGGGAAAAAACCCCAAAACCTAAAACCAGAAAATGCTCTTAGTTTTTGCTGAAGGCAGTTACTGGTGGTTGTTATAGAAATCTTAAAAATGTATTGCAGATTTTTTTGTGGTTATACACTAAAGATGGTTCGTAGAGGGTTTTATATCTCACCTTATCTCCTGACTTTTTCCTGTTCCACCTTTCCCTTAATTCCTGTTTATCTCTCTTCCTTTACAATTGTCCTGTTACTACTTCTGTTTCTCTCATTCTAACTCTTTATAAACTTTCATTGCAATCCAAAAAGTTGTTTGTAAACAAGGCTTTCATAAAGTAATACTATGTAATCTTATAAAAGCATACTGTAATCTTACCAGAGTTACTTAAAACAAATCCAAATTACAACTTCACTTGTACTGTCTTCTTCCTGTGTTTTCTCTCCCTACTGCTTTCTTAGGCTGTTCACTTTTCATCTTAACTTGAATTGTATGTTTTGGGGGACGAAGCCACACCTTTTTTTTTTAAGAAAGTAGTGCCCATTTTTGTATATTCTGTATATCTACATATATACTCGCTATCTCATGTATTTTACTGCTCCTTAAATCCTAAATTTCCTGGAAATGTGGCCAAAATTACAAATATTAAAGGTGTCTTCTTTAAGTCATATCATATTACGTATCTTTTATTTCATTATCTACCTGTTGTTCAACATATCAAATTAAATTTCTTGTCTTACGGCTTAAAGCACCTATACAACTCAGCCTGCACTTCTCTCCCAAAATGCATCATTATACATTAATAAGCGTGGACTTTTACATTTCTGGTCCAAAGTAGGTACTGAATAAAGAAACAGCATGTTGTAACATAATAAAAATCTAGAAATTGCAAACCCCTTCTACTATGTGTTATGTGTTAAATGTCATGGTGTTTTTGTCAGGGATCGTGTCTGAATGTCAGCAAGAAAGATCTCAAATTAGAAACAAAGAGAAGGCTATGAAAATGCTCAGTGCTAAACTATACAATGCCAAACTGGAAGAAGAAACCAAAAAGAGAACCAGCGTTCGAAAGATTCAAGTAAGTTTCACTTAGTAAAGATATAATTCTGTACAAGCATCTGCTCTTAGGGTAACTCCTGTGTTGAACTGCAAATAGTAAATGGAAATAGGGAGGAACAGAAGCCTAGGAAGGACTTACACAAGGCAAAAAAATTACATTCTACTTCAGCAATAAAGGTTGTATGTTAGCCAGACTTAAAATGTCAGTAGTATGTAAATTCTAGAGACCTACTGGATTACAGCATGAAGAACCAAAATAGTATTAGAAAAGGATACAGTAAAATTGTTCTTTTGCATGTTTGAGAACAATTACTGCAACTACTAAACTGGTCCGAGTACTGTGTAACTCTAACAAATTTTAGATGATCACAGGAGGTAGAGAAAGCTTCCACTTTAGATGCTTAATCAGTATTTCATCATTTTTATAAAAAAAGATGATGATGATAAGCTGATTCTTCTTGTTTGATAGATTGGAACTAAAGGAAGATCGGAGAAGATCAGAACATACAACTTTCCACAGGACCGGATTACAGACCACAGGATAAGCAGATCAGTGCATCATATTGAGTCTTTCATGCTAGGGGAAGAAATGCTAGATGAGATGATACAAACTCTGAGAGAATATGCTGATTATGAATCATTAATGGAAATTATTTCAGAAAATGAAAAAAAGAATCTATCCTGAACGTTTTTCTTTGTCAGCCCATTACAACAGATGTAGACATTTGTTTGCAAAGGATCTTTTTGGAGCACCTCCAGAAAATGCAACTGCTCTTCAGATCATGAAAAACTACAACTTATTTCCTCACGACTGATAAACAGTCTTCTTACTTGCTGAGTAAAAGACTTTATTACCTTCATATGAGACACTATTACTGCAGCAGTCCACTTATAAAGTAAATTTGACTGGTCTGGAGGTAACTACAGTTTTTAACTTTCTCCACTGAGAAGATACCACTCTCAAAAGGTATGCATTAAAAAAATAGCTATTTCTAGTTCCATTTTTCATTTAAACAGCAGTTCAAACATCTGTACAGTGTCAAATAGCTTACTTGAGAGAATAAAAAAAAAAAAAATCCTGTTTTGTTTGAGTGATCGGAAGAAAGTGACAAATAAATGACCCCACTACTAATCTGCATATTTGTTAATCACTTCTGTGTGGCATGGGAGACAGAGTCAAATTGTATCTCCTTCATGTTTTCACAGCCTTCTGGCCCTTATTAATAAACACATAAAAATGTTTAGCAATATCCCTTGTTCCGAAAAAAGAGCTGTGGAAGCCAAGTGACAAGTTATATGAATTGTTTTTGAAAAGGATGTTTCTGTTCTTGAGTCAAAAGTGAAAAGAATTGTTAAAATATTGTTTGGCTGATATTTCAGTCTCCATCTGGCTTCAGTTCAGTTCCTCCTTTATGTTTTTAATCGACTCTTCAGTTTATTGATTTTTCTAAATGTTACATGGTATGAACAGCATCTTACTGGTTTTGTCTATTTATTTAACAGCATCTTAAAACACTTGATCCCTGAAAGCAAAGTAGAACTTTGCCTTTCTAATCTGCTGATACACATGCACATTTATATATGTGGGTAAAGAAGACTTCTAATCTTTATTTTAGACAACATTTTACAATCCCAGATACACAGAGCAGTACAAAACCTGCAGCTTCCATGCCACATTATCCCATCATGCATTGTACCTATGCCTGTGTGCATACATACACGGAATGTATTTGAAATATAAATACCAGTAAATAAGAAATTGGAACCCAAGGAAAAATGTTACCATGAGTATAGGGGTGTTTGCTTTCAGACTCCTAATTAAAATTAGTGTAAGAAATTAGAATAGGAACAACGTATGTTTGCTACAGATAGCTTGTAGAAATGGATTACTTAAACATCCTGTATAAAAATCAACTGAGTATTACTAGTTTGTTATATTTTATTACATTTGAGACTGCAGTTAGAACCAGTGCATGTCAGAAAACAGCGTAGAAGCATTTAATATCTTGATCAGCTTTGTATTCTAGGAAATACTGTATGGTAACTATGATTAAGTTCCAAATCTTTTAATTAACGATGCATACAGTAACTTCAGATGTAGGAGTGCCTGTATGCATAAGGTGAGGCACGCATGTTTCCTGTTAGTAAGCGTAAGACCTAGGTCTAGATTTACTAGCAGATTTACAACTCCTACACATAAGAAAGTAAAAATAAACATTGATGCAGTTTGTGTGTAAAATTAGGTATCGATTGGAGCAGAAACTAGGACTGAAGTCTTTATTCCTAGCAAATCAGCACTGTAAACAGAAGACTACAGAGCACTTGTGACAGTCTTCTTGACTTCATTTAAAGCCAGGCTATCTTATACCAAGTGATGGGTGGAGTTTGTGATTCCTTCTCTCCAATTTCAGCTTCATATTCCTCCAAACAAATAAGGGCCATCAGCCAGGTCTAAACACTGAAATACAGCATGAAATTTATAGAAGTGTTCAAGTCTTTGTCACCCTAGACCTTCCCTGATGCTCGAGCTGGTAGCCTGGCTCTTGAACAGACAGGGGATGTTTTGTTGCCTTGCAAGTGGCCAGCCTCTGATCTGTGCGAGAAAAGCCAGGTATCATGTGGTGCTGGCAGGTATCCCAAAACTGGCATCTGACAGTGTCGCACAAAGTGGACTTCACTGCCTTGAGCGGTATCTCCTCAGCCTGTCATGGCAAGCTTTACTGCATAAAGACTTGAAGTCCCTTTCTTGCTCCATATTAATTTTAATGCAAGGTCTGTTGTCTGGCTACAAACGCGACCTCCCTGAGCTGCGAGATGTATTTCCCGCAGCGGCCGGACCTCTGCACTGGCATCCAGCCTGCTCAGCTCCCAGCAGCGCTCCTCCTCACTCTGCCAACTACTCGCAACGTTGACCATACTTTAAAATACAATTCTCCCGTGGGGAGGAACCCAGATGTAAGATCCGCCGCCAAGCTTAGCGAATCCTTCCCCGGCAGCAGAGCATTGCACACATTGCCCGCGCAAGTACGATGGGAAGATCCCAGGCGCTGGCACGTAGGAAAAGCAAACGGCAGATGCTCGGACGCGTGTCACCCCGCGGCGCAGAAGCCGCACATTCGCCGAGGAGAGCGCCGGGAGACGGGAGGAAGGGGCAGACGGGCGTCGGGCGGGAGATGCCGCCGGGCGGGAGATGCCGCCGCCCCGGCCCCGCCCCGCCCCGCCCCGCCCCATCTCCCGCGCTCCGCCCCGCGCCAGGCCCCGCCCCGCGCCAGGCCCCGCCCCGCCCCCCGCGGAGCGCGCGCGCGCCACCTCCCCACCACTCACCTCGCTCTTTGCCGGCCGAGGAGGGAAAATGTGAGCCGGGGCGGCTCCGCCCACGGCGGCTCGGATTGGCCCCCGCCTTCTGCCCGCCTCCCATTGGCCGCGCCGCCCCCGCCGGTGGCCCCCGATTGGCCGGCGCCGTTTTGGATACCAAATTCAAAGTTTTTAAAAGAACCCGGCGAGGGCGGCCGCGCACTCACGTCCCGCGGCCGCGGCGGCGCAGCTCTGCAGGTGAGCGCGGGTGGGCGCCGCGTCCCGGGGCCGGTGCGGGGTGGCGGGGCTCCGCCGCCAGGGCTTTGTCCTGGGGCCGGTGCGGCGTACCGGGGTTCCCCGGTGAGGGCTCCGCGGCGGCGGGGCTGCGAGGGGCGGCGGGCGGACCGACCGGGGATGGGGATCGCCGGCCGCGCCGCCCTTCCCGGTCTCTCCCCGCATCTATCCCGCCGGCGGGACGGCGCGGAACGGGATGGGACGGGACGGGGCGGCCGCGAAACGCCGCGGATCCGCGCGTGGGGAGCGCCGCGCTGCCCGCAGTGCCGGGGCCGGGGTGGGGAGCGCAGCTCCCGCCGGCGGGCAGCGGCGGGCGGGGAAGCGCCGCGCCGCGCTGTCTCCCGCCCACCGGGCCACGCCGCCGGAGGGGACATCCCGCCCCGGCTCGCCCCGCCGCCAACATTTTTGGGAGGAATCCTCCAGTAAGGGGGAATGCGGAGACCCCCCCCCGAGCGGCTCCCGGGGCCGCGGGGCACGGCAGGGCCGGGCGCCGGGCTACCTGCCGCCGGCCCGGGCCACTGGGCGGGAGCAGCCTGACAGCACCGCGGGGGCCCGCGGCTGAGCCCGCTCCGCCGGGGGGGTCAGGGCCGGCCCTGGCGCCCCGAAACGAGGGGCGGGGGGGGGGCACATTTCCTAGTTCTGTGGAGTTTCTGCCCCATAGCTCCTCTGCTCGCTCGCTGCGCGCCAGCCGGGGGGAAGGGGGGGAGGCGGCAGCTTAGCGAGGGCTCGCATCTCTTCCCCCAACTCACACTGTACAAAGCCGTGAGCATATTTGCGCCTTTCTTCCACCAAACGTAGGTACGAAGAAGGGACTTTTTCTCTAAAGCGCTCATGAAACACATTTTTCTAATACTTTTTCTCCAAAACTGCTGCAAGTGCTTAAAAATCCCTTAAAGTACCTGCTCAGATGGGGGAGCTTATTTTTCTTACGGATTGCAAAGCATTTGAAAATTATTTTCCCCTTAGACTTGAGATGACCGAGATGGCTTCCTTCTCCCCTTCAGTCCTCGCCCATCCCCCCGCAATTGTTAATATAGATAGCACCACACTTCGCGGGGGGAGGGGAAAGAAACTGGGCAAGGAAAGCTCAATTTTCCTATAATTTCTATCGACATCCCACCCTCTTAAAGTCACGCTTGTAAGTAACCTTTATTTTACTTTGACCACTGTTTAAGGGTTGCTGCTTTCCATTGTAATTTACAGATGCTTGTGAGCACTCGGGCTCTTCCTGTGCCAGCCCGCCTCCTCCCCTGTTAAAAATGCCAGATACCTGGCTGCATCAGCAGCTTTGCCTCTGGCCTTGGATGCAAACTTCAGGCTGCTCTGGCCTGGCTGCTCCCCTGCACGGGCCTGCTGTCACTCATGGACCGTCTGCCACTGGTGTCCCTTGCAGGGACCGCAAGTGTCTCGAGTGTGTCTCTGCATTCAGGTTAGGAAGTGGAGGCACTGGTGTGTCTAAAAATAATCTATACTGGTGGAATGGTGACCAAATAAATCATCCAGTCAGTTTTCTTGACCCAGATCTATGCAGCATACAGCTCAAATTTTGAGAAGAACTTGCATATAGATTTAATGTGTCGCTGTTCAGATACTTGTCTGTGTTTTAGACACTAGGGGGTGACTTAGATGAAAGCTTAAAATTTGTAATGCAGAAGGAAGGCATGATCAGTTCTTCATAAGAAAAATTTGTGATGCAGTTCATGCTGTGTTGTAATACTGTCCTTGTTTCTTACAGGATACAAACACAGTAATGAAATCAAACGTTAACCACTCTTTCAAAATGAAATGCGATTTTGATTGTAAGCGCCTTCATGCTGGGTTTACACCACTGAAATCTGTTGTGGATAAAACAAGACTGGAAGAATCCTGCCCCTTGAATTATGAGGAAAGCTGTTGTAAAAGCTGTGCTGAGGAGCATCAGAAAATACTCCTTAGTGACTCACACCATGCGGCCACCAGAAATCTAGATATCGAAGATGAAGGAAGACTGGTACATAATAAAGAAAACAAACAAGTAAATGAGAGATTTGATGAAGGTATCTATGAAATGGAGGCACTGGAAAACAGTAAATTTAATGAGGACAGTGGTTATTCCTCTATGTTAAGTAATCAATACGCTGATGCAATAGAACATGAGGATAGTATACCTTTGGCCGGGAATCTCTGTGGCACACCAAAGCATTGTCTCATGAAGAACCAAAACCAAGCACAGTTTTCAAAGAAGACTTTGTTGCCAGTAATCCATTACGAAGAAATGATTTGCTCAACTTTGAAAAAAAGTGGTAAAAGAAATCTCAAGTCTTGGGCTGCAGTAGACAGAATTCTTTTCAGGGGAAAGGCTGAACTTTGTAACCTAATTGGAAAGAAAATGGGATTAGATAGAATAGACATTCTTGCTGAACTCTTCCAGAAGAACCTGAAGCATATATTAGCAAGCATTTTAAGGAATCTCAGTGAGATGGATTTAATAAAGTAAGTATTTTGATCTCATTGTGTTTCATCAGGAAAATAACATAAACAACCTAATTGGATAGCTTAAGAATGTTTTAGATATGCAGCTTGTGACCTTTACTCAATGGTTAGTATTATGTATTGATATGTTAAAACACAAACTGTCAATGTAAGCCATGATATATATGGAGGATGTATCTCTTTACCCTAGGAGGCAAATTAAAGACTACAACTGTGAACACACCCCAGCTTTTGCGTGAAAAAAAAAGATTGCTTAGTTATTCGCACTATGAAATAAAAAGTTTTTCCCTTTCCTGTGGGGTAACCGATACGTTTGTATTGTCGTTGCAGTTTTGCCAAAGTCAGCACAGTATGGCAGAAGATTCTACAAGAAGATAAATGGATTTTCCAAATGTATAGTAAAGCTGTTAAAAACCTTTCTGTAAGTTTCTACACTTGTTAGATATTTCAGGCTTAAGCCAGCAGTGTCTTTGTGCTCTTTCAGGTCTCCTCCCAGCTTTAAGAGATCCCAGAATAGTTTCTTAGATTAAAAGAACTGTCACTGGAGTGTCTGAGTTTGTCCTGTTAGGATGCCCTGTCTCAGGTGTTGCTAGTCGCTTCGCTGTCTTTGGAGTCCAAGGAAGTTTGACCATGAAGGTTACCCAAGGAGAGATGCAGATGTTCTTAAGAACTTCCACATGTCCTGCCTTACGGAGGAAGGCAGGAAGGGGAGAGGGTCTGTTCCAGGACTGCCTGCTGGGTGGGCACTAGGGGCTCTCAGCAGAGCTTGGCTCACCTCAGCATCCCCACTGATCCGGGAGGGAGAGGGACGGAGGAACTGCTCAGCTGACTGCCCGACTCTGGCTCTGCTTATACTTTCTGGCAACGATCTCTGAAGTGTAACATGTTGGCTACAGAAAACTGAAAAGCTTTTTGCACTGTGAGCTGTTCCTAATGCTTATTTGTGCTATGAAATAAAAAATTCAAGATCCAACCACGCTAGCACATAGCACTTTACCAAGGCAGGACTGTTTTAAAACACTAGGGGTGTTTTTTTTCCCTGAGAGATACAGAGACAATGAAACAAGGCTTAGGATCAGCCTCAGAGTAAAGCAGTTATCTAGTTTGATTTTTATGTAGTATTTTATGGTGCTAGTCTGTTGGGGTGAAACAGTTGGACACCACTGAATATTTATCCCATTAAGTCTGATTTCCTCCCCGCCATTTTGTGCTTTTTTCAACTTGAACTGCAAACTTAGAAAATTTGGAGTTTACATCTCAGAAAGAAAGCTTCAAGCATCCCTGTTCACTCTAAAGAATTAGAAATATTGCTTTGTGCTTTCAAACATGGTGGTGTCCAGGTGGCATGCTTTGCCTAAATAATTATATGTTAATATGAAAGGAAGTTGCATTATGTAATAGAAGGTGGTTGGTTTTGGTGGACTGAACTAGGTGTCTGTTCGCATTTATAACAGCAGTGACTGAGAAAGCTAAGGTAAAATTAGTAGCATAATACATGGTATGACGCATTATTATTGGAAACTTTCTAGCCAGGAGGAAGGATCAAAAATAAGTTGTTGACTTCTGTTAAACAAAAGGTCAGTATCAGATAATTCTCATATTTTATTCTTGTTTTCCTTTTCATTAGAATGGCCCTAAGACATCAGAGCTTGCTGCAACAAGGGAGTATGTTCTCTACCGAGCGGCTTTAGCTTCCATTCAGAAAGCAACTCCACCAAAGAACTTGAATAAAAAAGGCACCAGATCCAAAGCATCTAAAAGTCACAGCAGGCTCATGGAGTTTTCTGAGGTAATTGGTGATTTCCATTCATCTTCAATTTCTTACATGTTGTCTGGCACATGATCAGCTTGAAAAACATATGCCTGAAAGTAGTAGCTCCAATTGTAACTTATTAGTATGTCTTCCAGATTTTGCTTGCTGAGCCAATTTTAAGACAATGTCAGATACTAAGTGGAGAATATTGGTATACTGGGAAGTTCTAGATCTTCCCCTAGGTGTCTAGGTACCCACAAAATGGCTTACTGAATTTTTTTTTTTTTTTTTGCTTAAATTTTGGTTTGGATCAGACATGAAAAAGTTTTTTGCTCTTGATTTCCATGGACTTGTAATGAATCATGTGTTTTCCAGATAAGCAGTCCCACAAAAACTGTCTCAAAGACTAAGTACTTATTTTTTAAAAAGTAAACAAATTAACATTTCTCCAGTTCATTCTATGCTTTTTTCCCCCAACTAATTATCTGACATTAAAATGGCTTTTTATTAACTACATATTTGTAGTATGTCACACATTTGGAGTTGTCAACAACTGCCAACAGCCTACATTTCCCTTCACCTTGTTATTAAGCTTTTTTTTTTTTTCCTACATATAGGTGCAGGTCTACATTACAAGTGTCTTATAAGACTTTTAAAAATGTTTATTGAAAGTCATTGTTAATAAGCAACAGATTTTCCTAACGAGCAAAAGTTTCTATACTCAGGCTCAAAAGTCTTATTCCACAAATTGGTACAATAAGAGAAGATATAATCGCACTGGAAAGTATCCAGCTCCCCTAATACTGCTGTATAGCACTTTGTAAAATGAGGAATCTGACAGTTCAACTGTACACTGAAGCAGCAGTCTAAAATGTTTTTTCCTTGATAAGCATATATGTCTATACACACATGTTTATATTATAAAAACATTTTGATTTTAACAGCTGAGTGACATGAGGCGTTATACAGGTCTCAAATTTTCTAATGCTGAATGATTTTGAATGGTGGCTCTGTTTTTGTGTCAAATTAATTAATTGGAGAGAGTTAAGAATTGCATCCATTTGGTGTCTCAGGCAGAGTGCCCCACAGCTGAGATTTCTGGACACATTGTTTACTTTTCAAAAACATTAATGATTTAAATGGAATTCAGATTTATGTTCTTTTTTTTTATTGACGTTAACTAAATCGCCATCCTTGGATAAAGTTTGGAGGATTCTGGAGGGTTGTTGTTCTTACTGCTTTACATTTATTCTGTCCTTTAAATTTAAAATTTCAAGTTTTTTAAATTGACTTCCTTTATTCCAGTCCAAATTACCTGCAGTTATAGACTGATTATTCCTGTTCAATCTCAAAGAGAATTTGATACAAGCAGGATTTGGCTAAATTTGTAATTTATCTCTCTAGAGTAGGAGAAGCTATAATATGTTTTGTGGTACTTAGGTAACATCAGGGAATGTTTGGCTTGTGTATTTACCCTCCACTCATTATTTTCTTTATATGCTTTTCCTGACAGGCTGCCAAGACCTTAAAAAATACTGAAAGCCTTAAAGTTTGCCATCGATGTGGCTCACCTGCAAAGTATGACTCCTACCTACAAAGAGCAACCTGCAATCGTGAAAGTTGTGGCTTTGACTTTTGCACAAAGTGCATGTGTGGCTACCACAGCTCCAGTGACTGTGCAAGTGGCAAACCAGTGAAACCCAACTCTAAGACAGGGCCACTTCCTGGGACTAAGAAAAGCAAACAGAATCTACGGCGATTGTGATCTATCCAACCCAATACAGATGGTCAGATGTCCCATAAAAGTTTTTTTTAGGATATGAAGTTTTCCACAAAGGAAGTCCAACAAAATGCTCTCTACTGCTCTATATTAAAAAGAAAGGTTAATTTTATTATTCTGCTGTACTATCTGGTCATGTTGAAATTCCTAGGAATTGTCACAAACATTTGTTTTAAAAAAGTCTTACTAATCAATAAATGTAAAAGAAAATTCTGGATATGGATTCTAATAACATTTTAAATATTGTCCTGACAATTTGTCTATTGTGTTCCAGTATTCAAAACAGCTCCCAATAATATTGAACAAAACAAAAAAGTTTTGGCAAGTAGCCTTCCATGTGTAACCCTAGCAATTCTTGAATGCCAGAAGGGGGACATGTAAACTCTGTTATTTAAATGTCTGCTCTTCTTCAGAAGTCCTTTATAAACATTTATAGTGAGAATGTCAAGTGAGGTGAGTGAAGTCCCTTATAACATAAAATTATGAGGGAGTCTAGGTTTTAATATTATTTTTCCCAAGGCATTGCCTTGATTTTAAAATGTGAAAATTCTCTGATGGTTTACCTTATGTGAATCTTAAATCATCGTTCTTCCTTCATTTCTTCATTCAGAAACTGCAGGATTTCATTGAATTGTGGTGACACCCTTTCCAACATAAAAAAAAAAAAAAGTACTGTGTCTTGACTATACTGCTAAAAAATACTTTGCCATTTTTTTCCAAATCATAAAATAAATTTTAAATATTTGTATATATTTGTAAATACTGCTTTAAATATTATTCATGTTGGTCTTGTGAATGTGAAAATAAATTACTGTTCTCAACAACTCACTTGGCAAATCTGGGCTTACTATTTATCATCTTAAAAGATTACTTTTCATGCTCATTTGTCAAGTTTTCTAGTATGTGCTTCTTAAAAACGGTGATTTGACAAAGAGCAAATCTTATGGTTTTGTGTAAAATGTACTGAATCCATTCTCATGCTGTGTTCCTGCAGTTTACCTAGTTTCTGAACCAACACATTCAATGGAAGATCTTCTATTGGCTGAATTTATGCTGCTGTTGCAGAACTAGCTCCCTGTCAGTAGGGTCTTTGTGATGCCACAAGCAAAGGAAGGCAAGCATTCAAGAAAACATCATTTTCTGCAAATGGCTGGGACTTGGGTGGGGTTCTTTTCCCCATTAGTTGTAAGTAGATAATAGACTGGGAAGGCAGCATTGTAGCTCCTGCTTCTTGAGCTGGGACAGCAGTTACATGTACGGCAGCTTTTCCATCCCTTCTTAACTTTACATTTGTGACAGCAGTGATAGAAACAGTTGAGCAGGACCTCTAGCATTCTACTTTTCTGTGGCAAACTTAATCTAACCTAAACCTGAAACTTAAAATAAAAGCCTGGCTGAGTTATAGCAAGAATTTCATTCCACAAATCTTTTATCTAAGCCTACTTACACTTATGCTCAAGATCTGAGAAAGAAAGGTACAATTCTTTCATCCTATCATGTCCTATTCTGGTAATCTGTTCATATCACCTTTACCAGCTAGTCCTGCAGGCCACAAGAAAAGTATTTGTATAGGAAGTAACAGCCCTCAATTACTGGATATTGGCATCTCCTATATTGTCTGTGAGACATGGAAGAGGCAATAGTCAGGGGCTTAATTTGAATGCAATCCCAGCAAGTCTGCTAGTAGGCTGTGGGCTGAGCACAGATAGAAAAAATGTACTATAAGCAAAACATTTGTTATAAAATTTTTGTGTCTACTGAAATTCCTGTGTCCCAAAGAGCACGGTTATCTTAATGTGATCTAGATGGATCTGCTTTTTTGCACATTGATTTTGAGAAATGTGACACCAGTATCCACACTCAAACTGTTATTGCAGAGTATGATAGGTCTTGAATTAAAATGTGTATGTGTGTTTTGGAGTTGAATGTGGATGCTACAAACTTAACATGTTTACCTTTTCAGGTTTGGAAGTGAGTAAGGGGAACTATCCTCTCTCTAGTAGGTCTAACAATTTGTACATGGATATAGTGAAGAACACAGCTGCTTGTTTTCTTGTGTTTCTTATAGAAATTTATCTACTCATGCAGAATTTTGAGGAAAATTCCTTGTTACCTCCAAATAAGGGAAAAGAATTGGACCACATGACTTCAGTGGTCACAACTGGAGATGAACAGACATTTTTCACTAATTTCAGTGATGTAAGGCAACTACATTCTAAGTAAAACTGTTGTAAAGGTCAGATTACTTGACTTCTAATGAAGATTTAGCCAAGCTGTAATGGGTCTACTGCAAACCATTGTGTCTGTTTCTTTCCTCTTGCCCAACATTTTTGTCTTATCCTGATCCTCAGATCCTTGCCTACCAGCTTTAGTGTTAATAATCAGAATAAACATTCAAGATTACAGCCTTCAACAGGTGGGTGACAGCTCCTTAAGGTCCTTAAGAACCAATGCTTGGAATTTTCTTATGCAAAATTTCTGAAGAGAAGCATGGGGATCTCTGGTGGCCATTCAGTTATTTCTTCCTTTATGGTAATCTTGCCCAACAATTGAAAACTTGCCCAACAATGCTGCGCACTGTTATAAAATCTATGACCTGTATAAAAACTATGCATGTGGTGTCCTCATAAATAGCTTCAGTGAATGGTGTACGGCAGAAAAAAAACAGAGTGGACAATCAGTCCCCACCCATGCATGCTGGCACCTACTGCTGAGTGTTCTCAGTCTCATAGCTTCTTATAGAGAGTGAGGGTCTTGGACGTTAGTTCTAGCAGGTGCCCGAACCAGTGCTGAGGAGATTGATTTATGTGCCAAAGGTGGGAACAAAGTAGTAGCTGAGGATTGTTGCTGTCTGTGCTGAGCCTGTTTTGAACCTGCCTTTGATATGTAATCAATGTGAGAGTGGCACCTAGCATGAGAGCATAGCACTTGCCATATGGAGATGAGTCGTTCCCAACTACTACAGCTGTGTTGTCAAAACCACTTTCAGGCTCAACATTTGGCAGCCCCAGTGACATTGCAGGAATGTGATAAGCTTCTTACCCACATTACACAGGCCTTTTAGATATACAGAGGGTGATAAATACCTGCAGGCTGACGGAGTCCCCTGTCTGGCTGGTGCAAGAGTACAGATTTCTTCCAGTTACTTGCTTATCTCTAGGCATGGCTCTGCATAGTGAGGAAGGGTGGGGTGTTTCTCTATTCTGTAAATTGCCATGGCTAGCAGCTGTTCCCCCTGTCCTTATCAGCTATGGAGCCAGAATTCTCCTTAACTTCATCCTGACCCTAGCTGGGAGGCAGATAGAAGCAGAGGTTTAGGACTTTCTGAAATCAATATTGAATAGCCACGTTTTGCAGCTCTTCTCTCTTGTGCTTAAGATGCTGTCCTGAAAAACCCAAGGAGCTGATGGAGGTTCTTACATCTTTCTACAAAGCGTTAAAGGCAGTTATCTCAGCTGTCCCACAAGAGCAACCAGAGAAGCTGGAGAGAAGTGTCAGATAATGATGATTAATCTGATGATAAAATCACTTGTAAAAACAAGGATGAGTTGTATATACTTATCAGTATAATTTATCAGCAGCAGCCTTTGTGCTTTGAGGACTGCGGGATATGGAAGAATCAAAACAGAAAGAACCCAGACCTCTTACTTCAACTCTGCAATTGCTGGTGCCTTAGCACAGCGCACAGACAGTCTGTTCACCTCAGAGGATGATTTCTAATGCATGGCAAAACTGCAGCATGTGTCAGATATGCTGTCACTAGCCAAAGGATCCACTGCAAAGAAGTGACATTTTAGTATGATAAATGTTTTGATTGATAAAAAAAGTTTAAAACTCATATTTCTGGCAGTGACCACTCTCAGAAAAGCTCAGAATATTTAGTGGTAAAATATAAAGTGCACCGTAACTCACAGAGTTTGAAAAAGGGAATCTAGATTAGGATAGTGATAAGAATTCCCTCCCCACCTCCCAGGAAATCTACTCCTAAAACCAAGGGCTGACATTACACTGTACTAAAGAGCTTTTAAAAATAAAATGTGTTCTGGAAAGGGAAAACCACAAGATGGTGCTCTTGAAACACTGCAAGAAGCCGGATTCACTGAGTTTCTTCTTGCTGGGTTCATGGAGAGTGTATTTCCTCCAACTCTGCTGTCTGTAGCTATCCATCTAGTTACTACAGTCACGGGCAATTGCATTAAATCTGCGATTAAAAGAACAAAACCCAAACCTTGAATTGGACTACTGATTTTAGCATTTGTTTCAAACTTACTTGTGTAGGATATGTACATATTTGCTAAACTTTAAAAACAAAACAAAACAGGTCCCTTCCATAAAAGCTTTATCCTGCTGGTAAATGCACATGCCTTCTTCAAGGAGTGATTAGTTGATCTAAAAAACATAACATTCATTTTGCCTCTGTAGTGACAAGTGGAGAGCAAAGCCACCACTCCAAAGCAGTGAGTGCAAGCTGTCCCGTCAACCCCTCAGTGCAGGCCTGGAGCAAACAGTGAATGGACTTTTGCCTGGGATCAGACGTCATGTTCCTGATCGACTGAGGTTCAGTGAACACCTCAACTGGTGACTGCGGTGGCCTGACCTGGATGTGTCTTCTAGCAGAACTTAATTGTGCCAACCCGCAAAATATCTACAAGGCATAGCATGAGTATGTAAGACAACTTCTCATACAGCGCCTCTGCTGCTGTTGGGAGGAGCTGGTGTCTTCAGCTGAAATGCCATTACCTGAATGCAAAGATGGGCCAGGCAATTACTGTGATAGATGCTGGGTTTTGGAATACACTTGCCATGATAGAAGCAATTCCCCTGCTAATACATCTAAACTTTGGAGTAGAGTCTGGGGAGTTACAGAGATGGGCAATTGTTGGAATGTGAATCTTTATCTGAGGATGAACAAATTGTGTCAGGTCCACTCAATTTTAATGCTATCTTGTTGGAGTGGTTTCTCCTCTGAAGGAGTCCAGGGCAATATAAAGACAGAGAAAACATAGTGCTGATATTCCTAGCACAAAATAAAATCAGTAAGGGTCTACTTGAGCCTGATGGTGCATGCAGAAAGAGTTGCAAGGTTCAAATAAAGGAATATAAGTTCTTGTAGTGGCCACTGAGATGGTTCAGCAGCTTGAGGGTTTGTCCCTTAATGTTTAGTATTGTTTAGCTCTTTGCATTCAGAACTGCCCTCATGGTACCTCAGTACAGTAC